CTCGGCGGAGGGTCGGGTCGGGTCGGGTCCGCTCCCCTCCCTCGGCGGTCTCCGCTCTGTGCGGGGCTGCGGCTGAGCCCCCCCACCCCCGATGCTGGAGTCCCCCCCGGAACCGGGCTCAGCGGCGGCGCGGTCCCAGCGGGAGGTGGCGGAGCCGGGGAAGCATAGCACTGGGGCGGGGGGAAATCAGGTTTTACGCTGTAACTTTGCCAGGGGGCACGCAGCCGTGACTCTTTGCCTGGAGCCATAAGGAAGTGACCGAAGCTGCAGTTCAAGGGAGGAAAATAGCATTAGGCGACTTCCCGGAGCTCTTGGAGGGAGGCAGCGGCTGAGCCCACACGGCTGCGGGTGGGAGCGGGGCTCGGGAGCGCAGAGCTGACAGCGTTCCCCTGCCGATAGGAAAAAGCTGTTGTACTTCATGCGCGCTTTCCAGCACCTGCGAAGTAGATGGAAAAGTACAACTCATTTGTGGGAGTAAAAGGGTTCTGCAGCGGTTACTGGCAGAACCAAAAATGTGGGAATACGTTTCCTCTGCCTTCAGCTGTGCTGGCTAAATCACTCGTAGGTACGTTATTGCTTCCCCTGTCTGTCAAGAGGGTTGGAGCTCCCTGAGCTGCTTCAGTCAAAACAAGACCATTCTGATGGCTCCGTCTGAAGGTCTCAAACCTGCTTCGTTCTGGCTGAAACAGTTGAGGGAGTGAGTTGGCACATCTGAGGGGAGAGGCGGTGATGAGCTGCTGAGGACAGTGATTTCTGGTTGGAAGGGAAAACGTCTTCAGAGTCTAATCCTGATCTTCGACACTGGCTCACGTAGTATGTGAAACATCTGTCACAAAAGCTGGTAATATCGTTAAGCGGTTATTCAGATGAAACAAAAGTGGAAATGAGGAAGCAAGTAGCACAGAGGGTTGTTGGCTAGGGGAGGGGGGAGGGGTCTGCAGTGTAGTGGTAAGAGCTGGAATTTCCCCGTGCTATGTGGAAAGTGACTTTTAAATGTGAAGAGGGGTAGGAGATGCTTCTTAAGAGCTCCTGTCCAGAAACTGCAGTGGTGTTTGAAAGGACCACGTTAAAGTATGAAAGTGCATTCTTTGAGATGTAGCTTGGTGGAGGCATAATTTTACTGTTATCATATAAAACTTTTAAAAATGAATTTGCATTAATTTTTGCATAAATTCTTATTTGAAAAGCCTGACCTTGCGAGAAACAGTAGGATGTGAGTGCTGAAAATCAGCAGAGCTATGGTGTTACTTGAACTAGTAAACTAGGTTTTCTGCCATTTATTTTTAGGTCAAAAAGAGCAAACAGACCAGCTAGCAACAGCACATGGTAACTTTATAAGCTTACTGTTAGCCAAGACATTCAATATTTGGATGTGGAGGGGAACAGATCAAGTGCAAAGGGTGTAAACTTGTCCTGGTTTAAGTGAAGTTTACCACATATTGTTAGTTTTTCATTAGCTGGTATTAAAGTGACAAAATTTGTATAGGACATGTCATGGTGCTCTTATGCAGATCAGGTGGAAACACTGTCAAATTTGTCCTACTTCTCAGGGACCTGGCAACATAAATCTGGTATTAAAAAATGTGAAGCTATAGCCACACCTATTGGTGTTGATTATCAGCATTTCTCAGAATCAGAAAGTGCTAGTCTATCTTCACTTCCTATGGAGAGGTGGTAAGAATGTATTTTTCATTGGCATGCTAAGAATTGTTTTCAAGTGCCAGTTGAACTCTTTAGAAAACGGGCAGTAGAAGTAGTTGAATTTGGAAGAGGAAGGCTTAAGTAGTTCCTTAAAGTGGCTAATTGGATTCCCCCCCCCCCCCCCCCTCCCCCCCCCCCCGAAGATTAAAATACTTAATTCTTAGATGAGCTGTCAATTATTGGGACTGGAGTAAAAATCCATTGCTGAATTCTAAAAGCCTGAAGTACAAATACTGTAAGTTTGGGGTAACTGAAAGCAAAGATTTCCTTATGTTGTTTAAAGGCTATTTGAAAATATTTTTTTCTGAAGCACTTGGAGTCAGGCTCCTATTCCTAAAAATATTTTTTTCAGCCATCAGATTGGGTGCCTGTTGTAATAGGCCATCACAGAAGTGCTCTTAAGTGCATTAATATTGGTGTTGGAGATTATACCATCAACTTCTAGCATGTGGCAGATATCTTGGTCGTCTTTCCCAAGTTTCCAGAATGCTGGAGTTTTGGGTGCTGGAAGGATTCAGCACAGCATTAACAGGATCAGAGAATAAAAGGCATATGTGCTTTTCAGACTGTACAATTAGATGTCAAGGTATTAAATATTTTCATGCTCTTAGACCACAGGACATCATACTGTGTAATGTGTGCAGTGAAAGGTATGTAACAGAGGGAAACAGAGTTTTGTGACTCCACAGAACAGTACCTGCCTCTTCAGAGCTTGATTTTGCAACTTAGTAGGGCTTCTTAGAGTTTAAAATGTAATTTCCTGCCTGGTAAAGAGGTAGACAGCTTCCTTCACTGTTGTAATGCCTATATAAAAGCAGCAGCGTTTGAATCTCGACCCTTTGAAGCAGTAGTACATACTGCTGCTTGTTGAACCGTAATTGTACCTAGCTTGCAGCAAGCAGTGACATTTGGATGTGTTAGGTATGTTTTCTGGCTTTGATTGGAAGATGGACTTGGTTGGTCTTTTCCCTTCCTGTGGAAATAACTTTCTGTGGTACATGTTGGATAACATGTTTTGGATGGGACTGGACAGTGTCCTTTTTATTCCACTCTTATGTGCGGTTGTTCTGGTATCTTAGTACTGTGCAGGATGCAGTTGGCTTTTTGGGTGCCAGTGTGGGCTGAATCTTAACGTGTACAAACACGTTGAGTTTGTTTTGATACGCTTCCTGAAGGAGAGAAGAGGAAACAGCAATTTTTAAGAGTTCATATCTGAGTTAAACGTGAACAGAATTGTATGGTACAGGCTTGCAGAGGTTTGCCTGTAGCAGACAATGCCAGCTTTTAAACTTAGAGGTCTAATGCTGAAGGTTAGCAGTCTGAATGCTTAGACTGTGTTGGTAAGAGCCAAGGATGCAGCTGCATCTTTATCTGGACAAGTTTTGATGTCAGATACAGACTGTGCAAGGAGAGCAGAGGCTGTTACCCACTTCTGGTGTGTGTAAATTTCTAAGCTTTGGACTCAAGGCTAAATTCGTGTTGCCTGCCTTACTAAGGGAGTTTACTTAGATCTTTAAACTTTCAGAAACTGTTGCACTGTATTACCTCTAATCTGGGATACCTCCTACAATACATGAAAGCCTACTCACTGACATATCCTTCACCTACAGTTTAACTTGTTGTCAAACTTACTGCTCTCCTGTTTGTTTACTAAAGATGGGGTGTAGGTGTTAATACTGCATAACTGATTATGCTGCTAGCAGCAAACAAAGTACGGAGTTCAAGAAGTAAAAGCTGCTGTGTACGCCAAAAGAGTAGGCCAAAGTATTTTTGATTAGATCTTAATACAGCTAAAGCTGTCAAGTATTTCATAATAACCACTCAGAGGAATGCGTTTGCAAGTTTATGTAGTGAGGAAAACATTGGTGTGCAAACATTCTCTTTGAATGTTGTAGATTATCCTCTTGTTAGAGGAGTTGTAGTTCTTTCTATTTTAAATTATATTTCCTAGGATGAGAAGTAATAGTTCTATTTTCTTTTTGAGGGTACAAAAGATGCCATAGTAGATCTGTGAATACCAATAAAAATGTAGCTCTTTTTTTAAAGTTTTGAAGCCAAAAAAGGAAGCAGGAATACCTGCAGGAGTTAAATAGTTACTTTTCCCGATCTGATTATTTGGCAGGATACTTTGCCATCTGTGAAGCTTTCTCAGAGCTTACCTAGAAGGGATGATTAACTCTGTGTCCCTATGGGCATCTTGCATGACCCTGGCTCTGCGACAGCGTTTGGATTTGTTGCAGTGTGTCCCTCAGCTTGGGCAGTCAGCTCGGGTACCAGCTGTGGGTTAGATCTGGCTGTTTGAGGCTGGCTTGTGTTTTCTCAGAGCTGAGGTAGGCCAGTGTGGGCTGCACAGATCTGTGATACAGTCAAATCTCTGGACTTAGCCTTATTATCCTTGTTCTCAGCAAACAAATAACTAAGGCAAGATGAGTGTTTCCCAGCTGTAGGTGGGGATGCTGAGGGATGATAAGCTAGTGTACATGACCCTAAATGCAAGATTAAGGTAGTCTATTTACCACAGGTTAACAGGATCTCTAGAGCCACTAGCACATCTGAATGCTGGTGTTCTGTGACCATCAGCAGCTGCTATTGCATTGCAACTGCTGCTTAAGTTGCAGTATTAAGGTTTTTTTCAGTTATGGAACTTAAATATTGGTCAAAAATAAAGTTTTAGTGAGAAGAAGTTCAATAAAAAGCATCAACTACAAGCTGTGTCCTTGAGCTTGCATTGCACTGTGATTAAAACAGATTCCTAATGCTGTTTTGGGAACATGGTCAGTAGCAGTGTAATACTTCCAGTTTATTTTGACTACCAGAAAAATGCAGTCTTCTGTTCTTGCTAGGAAGACAATTGTTAGTGATTGATTTCAGATAGGAAAGCAATTGTTAGTGGTTTGAAGGGGTTAGGAAGATGCAGTTCTTGGAACAGGGCTAGTGTAGCTGTGTGGTACTTGCTGCAGTGCTTGTATTGTAACAAGTTTGGATTTGCCTGCCAATCTTTCATCACTTCTTTCTCCCTAACATACATGCATTTGGCTTTTAGAGGGCAGCATATGTGGCATGAGCACAAATACCGTTGGAACACTGAAGGATTTTCTTTGCTTTCAAACCCCAACCTTTTTCTCCAGCACCATTAGGTGCTTACTCACTCTGTAAAAGAAAGAGCAATTGAGAACAACAAAAATCCTTAGAAATTGTTAAGACCACACTCAATATTGCTTAAAGATGGCTTTTGTGTGTGTTTCTTTATATTACATACCCCCCCCAACCAAAAAAATACCTTTTGAATTACTCTTCTATAAATGTGCATGCTTTCCAGCTGAAAGCAACTCCTGGTTCAATACTCAATGTTGAGGAAGCCTAGAGGTCTATTTTAATCTTGTTTTACCTCCTCCTCCGACTCTCAGATATCTGAGTCTACTATAATTTAAAAAGTAGGTATCTATCTCCGAGTGCTCCTTAATGAGTTTCAACATTTTCATATCCTTACTGCGACTGCTGTCAAACCAACCTGTGTCTTTCTAGGCCCTTAGTAGGGAATCCTTAAGGAAAGGTGAGTGATAGCCAGCTCTTCTCAGGTACTGAGCACAGGCCTCTTCATTAAATAAAGATGAAGTTTTGAAAAGACTGCTAAAGACTCTAGGGTTGATATGGTTGTTCTCATAATAAAACAGTTTCATGGTAGAAGGAGACTTGTGGAAGTGGAGGGCTTCTCTAGTCCTTTAAGCTAGAACTGGTATTTCACAAATAATTTGTCTTAACAAAAGGAGATGCACCACAATAACAGGTCTGTAAAAGAATCAAGGAGAAGTGGGATTTTGGCACAGGTCGTTTGCTGACTATGGTGAAACAACCTCTTCAAATTTTGCTCAGTCAGAGCTTTGTATAATTAGATATAAAGCTGTCTGACAGCTTATCTTTGCAAGCACGAGGCTAGTGAAGGTCTAATCTTACTTAAACCAAAATAAGAAGCTTTCAGAAGTTAATTTTGCTAACTCTTGCAGCTATTTGCTTAGGCTCTCAACTTCAGTGAGGGACTGTACTGTTGATGATCCCTGTACAAATTATACTTCCAGGCAATAATTTGCTTAGAAAAAACAAATCCTTGCTTCCTTTATATTAATTCCTAGTTTAGTATAATTGACCAGAATACTGAGAGGAAACAAAGTCTAATTTGGGGAAAATCAGCAATGCATGATCTCAATCACTGTGATAACTCCTAGTCTTTTTATATCAAAAACAATTGCATGATTTTGGCTAGAAGTGAAAGAGTTAAATTAGTAATGGTAGAAGCTACCATCTGAGATGTTCAGAACAGTTTGATTATGATGGACTGGAGTAATGTGCCACTGACCAGGTGGAAAAGTGACTTGATTCAAAAGCTGAAAATTATTGTTTTGAGGCAGTGTGTACTCAGCTGTATTGATTTCAAGTTTTAGAAAAGGAAAGTAGTACATTGAGGGTGGGCATTGTCTGCTTTATTTTTGAGTGGTCTTTTAAAGAAAAGCCCTTAAATGGATTACAAAATTAGAATGCTACCCTTATATCTTCAACCTCAAAAGTTCTAGCCCTGATGCAAAATATCAGTCCCTTCCTGTGCTCTTTTTGTTAAACTCTTACTGGCAATCCTATATGATGTTTAGCAAGTCTATTCCCTATTTTTTTTCTAAAAAATTCTAAATACCAGGCCTTTTTTTAGCTAAAAGTAAATAGAACAACTCATCTCGATGAAGTCTCTTGACAGTGTTTCCAGGTACGCATATTTACAGATCATTTAGGTTTCCATTTAGGAATGAGGAAGTTAGTTTTAAACCATAACAAGGTGGCAAACAATGGTTTGGAGAGGAAATTTCAAGTAGTCCTAAAATAACCTTAATACTGTCTACATGTGTGCTCTTAACTTCTTGATGTAGATTCCCTTCAAATGTGCCTATTGTAGGAATGTTTTTGGCAGTAACTTTCCACTTCCTTGCTGATTCTCTTATATCCCTCCTCCCAGGATTTGACAGTCATGAGAGTGGTATAATGCTAAATGTTCTCAAGCCTGTTTTTCCTTTCCTTCCACGGCCTGATTCTGAAAGGTTACAAACTAAAAACAATTTTATAAAGAGCCTTAGCGTGCTGTCCAAGTCATCTTGTCAACTTCTTTCAGTTCCCATTTAACTGGCTAATCAATCCTGTTCGTATTTAGGCCAGAGGAGCAGTGCAAAGTAACAGTGCTACTAATGTTGCTTGTCCTTTGCATTCATTCGTACATGAGGGAGTAGATGCATGGGTTAGAGGAAATAATACTGAACTAGATATGATGTCCTCTATGGATCCATACATCAATATTTGGGGATGGACATGTCAGTAATGTGCTGGTCTGGAGGATGAGGTGCTTCTGTTACTAATATTTAGTATATGGCTTGCTGAAGGATGAGTTGCACAGAGAAGCTGTAAGAATTCAAAAGTTCAGACTTCCATAATGGAATGATTTGCAAATATAGGTTTTTTTTAAACATATCAAACACTCTGCTACAAAACAAGCTGTGGTTTGCTCTGCCAAAGCTGGGAAGAACATGCAACTTGAATTTGACTTAAATCAGCCAGAGCCAAGGAGAAGGAATTAAAGGATTGCAATATGTAGCATTTTCTGAGGTGAGCTGAAATAGTATTTCTATTTCATGCTTACTGAAACTCAATGTATAAACAGTTTTGAAGAAAACACTTCAGAATCCAAGGGTGGCTATTCTTAGTACTATTATTCTTGTTATGTTAGAGTACTGTTGGAGTGTTATTATTTCTATTATGTCGTTCCTCAAACTATTATATTTGAGTAGCACAAAAGCTAAGAGGATTGGAGCTGATATATCAAGTATTGAACTGGTTCAGATGCAAGGGATGATGGATTTACAACTGTCTTCTCCCTGCTTTTCCCATGACACAGAACAATACGAGTATGGCTGAAGAGAGACAGTGGACAATACTGGCCCAGCATCTATCACACCATGTCATGTAAGTACAATGGTGGAGATGGTAAATGATGGCCAAGCATAGCTTGGGTTTTGTACCTGTGCTGTGTGTGGGAATACCTCCTTCCCATTTCCTCAAGTGCTGGATTCACTTGATGATCTTGAATTTGGGAACTTTGCAGCAACTCTAGCTCAGACTTTAATTTGAAACTAGCTGTGTAGTGGGTGAGATCGAAGGCAGCATTCTGTCACAACGAGATCCTTCACCAGGTAAATCACTGTGTGGATCTGCAGCTGTAGATGTCTCAAATTCTGGCAAATAACTCATCTGCCGAATAAGTGAGCTTTTCAAACCACTAGCTGAAAGTTCAGACATAAGAATATTTTCTGCTTTCCAAGGTGTGCATCTTTTTTCCTTTCCCCCCCCCCCCCCCCCCCACCCCCCCAGCATTTAGATTATTAAGAAAGCAATACTGAGTAGCAGCTTCAGTGTTGAGTAGATCTTGAGTGTCGGTGTGCTTTTTTGATTTTGAAACATGACTCAGCCTGGGTACTTTACTGTAACTTTTTTAATGTAGAGTTGCTACCTAGACACATACCACATATAAGAAGAGGGAATACAATGGCAGAATAAAATGTCATACAATTCCAGACTGTCCTGTCTGGCTTTAGATTTCTAAAAACACCTTCAAGGCCACATTTTCTGAGGGTCTTGGAGAAGAAAGTATTAGTTTAGAACACTGAATCCTTCTTATCCTTGTAATTTGCAAGTTTAATGAGGACATTCTTCAGTGAATCTTTTTTGCAAAAATGTCATTAGGACACTTTATTGTAACTTCATTGTTATTGCTTTTCACATCTATTTTAACTCTTAATTTCAAAAAGGGAAATAGGTCTTCAGAGGTTTTCTGCTAAAAGAGATTGTATGTAATCTCAAAAACATGAGTCTCCTTAAAGTTGCAGATGTTGAGACATGATTCCATATGAAGTTGACATGCAATTACATATTTCTGTCTCCCACTTTACTCTCTCTAATGATACAGTCCTCAAATGTAATGAACGGAATATTGTTCTTGTGTACAACTCAGGACTCCATTTGAGGTAATTTTAGTGAGCTCAAGTACTTAAGTGTAACCAGCAGCACATGCTGTTGCTGCTAGCTTGGCTTTCAGCCTGTGTAAAATTCCTCTTACTGAGTTGCACCTTGTGGTGGGAAATCATGTTTGCATGTGGTTCCTAGCAGTACATCTGAGTTCCTGTAGTAGTGTACCTTTCCTCAGCTTCACATATGGGAATTTAACTGTCTTACCAAGAGACATTATCTATGCAGACCAATTTCTATCAAGCTACTTAATCTTAAACAGCTTTTGTCCTGAGTGAAAGAATTGGTTTTAATGTCATGTGTATCCTAATACTTCCTTTTCAATAACTGTAATGTGCTTGCTTTTTTTGACAGCACCATGTTCAGCCATGGCTTATCATCATGACAGCAGACGAATATTTGTAGGCCAGGATAATGGAGCTATCATGGTAAGTTGCTGTGACTTTTCTTCAGAACGTGGATTAGAATTGCTTAGATTGTCTGTGAGCACCAGGTGTTGCTGGCAGCTGATAGTTTGTTTTCTTTCCCTTCTGTTTGGAATGCAGCTACCACTAAATGGCTGAACTTCTTGGCAGTTCACCTGAGTTGTACATGGGCGGACTGCAAGTAAACAAGGGTTCTTCTGGCTAGATGTGAGCCAGCTAGCCTCAAGAAGTCATTGCGCCATTAGCATAGCAGTGGACCCAAACAATTACACTTTATCAAGGAATTATTTTGAGGAGTACATTAAGCTGGGCAGAGTGCCATGGCAGTGTGCTAACAGGGGTTGTGAACTGCCCCTAGCTTGCATCTGGCCAGAAGTATGGATCTGCCTGTATCTCACCATGCACATGTCTCTGGATTTTCTTGCTGCAGATCTTTTTATGATGTGGAAATTTCAACACTAGCTCTAAAATTACAAGAGGCAGGGTTGGTTTCTTTCTGGGAAGTCTTCCTTCTGTCTTTTTGTATTCTTGCTGTAATTGCTCTCCCTTTCTTGGAGAGCAGATACATATGGCAGAACAGAAAGTGGGTCTGTAGTCTTCCCCTCTTTTCTTGGCAAAGGAGGGGAATCTTGTGATTCTCAGATGCTTTAATGGCTTCCTTTCTCTATGAAAATAAGGTCAAAATAATAACTGTCCTTTAAGGAGCCAGGGTACTGCATGAGTGTCATAAATAGTGATTCTACTGATAACTACTGTGAATAGCCTACACAGAACTAATTGAATAGTGATTCTTGTGATAACTACTTGAAACTGTAAACTGAGACTTCTAAAATTTCAGTAAGCCTAATGGATCAAATAGAGAATACTGTCACTTAAATCTGTCTATTATGAAGTCTCAGATACTTAAATTCTAAATACTACCAAGATACAGGGGGTTTTGTTCCTGCTAGGGACAAATGAGATCTTATCTCTTCCTATAATTTCCTTTCAGCAAACTCTGTTCTGAAAGGATGCTCCCTGTTGAAAATGTAGTTTGCTAATAACCTTAATTTACAGTTGGTGTGTCAGTGTGCTATGGTCCAGCCTGAGAAACTGCTAGTTTTTAGTGAGATCTATTGCTGCTATGCAAATTCTGGCCTGTGAGGTTACTGCTCTTTTTGCGGTATCAATATTGCTTATGTCACTATGGTATCTTTTCTAACAGTTCCACTTTGCTTTTAGGAGTTTCATATTTCTGAGGACTTTAATAAGATGAACTTTGTGAAGACTTATCCAGGTAAACTGTTAACCAGTGTCTAGACTAACGTTTGTGTGAAGAGGAGGCACCTAAAATGTGTGGGAAACTGGACATCATCACAGATTAATCAAGTCCATATATGCTTTAAACCTGACAGACCTTCTAGCTGTCACTTAGTTGGGGATAACTGCCATAAGATAAATGCTCTGTTACTGAGTAATCTTCAGTCAGGTCAGTCTGAGTTACAGTCATCATTAAGTTCAGTACATCATTAGTGTAATGAGCCAGAACTAGTGAGTTCAGATTTTGCTCTTCAAGTGGAGTAGTTACACTGCATGAATGTTAGGGTAAGAGCTTTCTAAACGTGCATTTTGGCATTTGCAATTTCCATCTTTACTTTCTGTAATCACTGGGCTTGGTTACTTCTAGCTGAAGATAAGAGTCCTTGCCTTCTCTGTCATCTTAAGAGAGCAATAGGGATGAAAAAGATCTTATTTTTCCAGTACATGGGGAATAGGGATTGTCCTAATATTTATGGAGATGCTAATTCCAGCATTTGTCTACACATCCTTAAAAGAAATACAGAACTCAATTGCTGGTTAAAAATTGGAATATTAATGTGAAAGGCCTGAAGGAGACTCTTAAAGACTGCAGATTACCTAGGGAAACAAAGTGCGGTCAGTCTTAATGACTCCCTGACACTGATAGAAGCAACATTCTTGCTTAGGAGGAAAAGACCTTTTTCTTAAAGCAACAAAACTCCCCTTTATCCTAAGGAAGATGACTTAACAACTCAGGCAAGGGAAGTCCTTCCATCTTGGGGGCAAGGGGCACTTCTTTCTAATGCTCATGTAACTTCTTGCTTAGTGGCAGCGTTCTAAACAAAGCTGGGTGGCATTTGGTTGCTGTCACAGGCAGCAGTTTGAATGCTGTGGGCTAGATATACTTTCAGGTGCTTAAAAGCATGAATCTGAGCATAGCTCCCCTGGGGTAAGGAAAAGAGGCACTTAAAGAAAGCAGTTTAGGTTTTTAGATGTGTTACATTACTCCCCAGAAATTCTGGCCTAACTAGAGGAAGCTGAGGGTTTGGCTGCTCCTTAACTAGAGCATCTTGGGTATCTGGGCTGAACTCAGCTTCTCTCTGTGGGAGAAAGGCTTAAATTAGCTGACTGCATGTTTGGTTCAGTTAAGCTATTCAGAAGGCAAATACCAACCAGAACAATGCTAACCTTTTAATTCAGCCTAGAGGCAAGTATAATATGATGGTAAAAATGTCTCCTTGGGGCATTGTTTACATATCTTCAACCTATGTCTCTCTGAGTTAGAACGTAAGAACATGTCACATTGATTTTTAGGAAAAAGTAGCCAGAATCTTCTTCTTCCCACAGCTCATCAGAATCGAGTGTCTGCTATTACTTTCTGCCTGACATCAGAGTGGGTTATCAGCACTGGTCATGACAAGTGTATCAGCTGGATGTGCACCAGGAGTGGGAGTATGCTGGGGAGACATTACTTCACCTCTTGGGCTTCATGTCTACAGTATCCTTTGAAAAATGATTGCTACCCTGAAACTGGAAGAGTACTTTGTTCCTTTAGCTCAATTTGCTCCCTCCTTTTCTTGTAAAAAAGCTAGAGTGAAATCTCTTGCAAGTCTGCAAACCCTTATTCTGATTAGGTGTTTAATACCTTTATTTGTTAGCTGTTGTTAGATAGTAGAAGGGCATGTTCTGACCTTGAGTTACAGAAATTGCAGTGTGTACTAGTTCCTAGTTTTGAGGTGTTTGTCTGTAGCATCTTGTGGAAGTGACTACTAACTGTATCTACAGCCTGGCCTGTATACTTCTAGCTGAGTCACTTTGTTCAACAGATGCCAGTGTGCGTTTGAGTCCTAGAGCATAAAACATCATGAAAACACTTTTTACTGCTTTAATTCTTCTGTCTTTGCTCACGTTAATCTTTTCTAGTTTAAGCTATGAGGTACATTGAAACTTTATTCATTACGAGTAGTAATTTCTCTGTGTGCAGTTTGCTTTCCTTGCAAATTACTTTTAACTGCAGCATTTTTAGCTTAAGGACTCTGGTTGTCTATTCAGCTGTAAGTACTTTAGGGCATTCTTTATCCATGTAAAAGACTTACAAACACAGTAGCCTAAAATGTAGTTCAGCTATCAAAACTTTTGAGCATGAGTTAAATACTTTACTTTAAATTCTAGAACTATTTTTTAGCACTTGTTAATAGTGGCAGTTTAGATGTGGCTGGACAGTAACTGGAGGTACTGGTTGGTGTATGAGGATTAATGGCAGTAATGTTGTAGAAGTGGCACGATTCAAAAGCTGAAAGAGGTCAACTACGTCTCTTGAAAAAATAAAGACCTCTCTAGAATTGCTATATACCTGTGTAGTGCTGAGAAACTAGGAGGAAAGCTAACTGGTTGCCAGCAGCGTGTCTAGCCTTCTGAGGTCTCCCATCTGTGCAGACCCTGCCTTACTGACTGAAGAGCTAACAGGTTTGTATTGTTGTACTCTTGCTCTTTTCTTCTGTCCTTGTTTTAGAGTTCAGGGGCTTTGTGTCCCACAAAACATTCATGTACAGCTCGCCTCAGCTAAATGCTGCACAGAACTGGGTGAATACTGGTGTGTGTTTTAGGAGACTAGCTCACAGAACAGTCTGGTGCTTCTGAGCCTCACTATTTGAATTCAATGTGTTCTATAGCTAATGCTGCTGCAAATAATAGAGTACTTTATTATGAAAATGGAGAAAAGAATATGACCTTTTCTATCAAGATGAAAATAAATTTCCACTGAAGACCATGGCATTTGAAAATGCATTGTAATCGATCCTGCCTTTGGACTTATGTTTGGAGGAGCTAGCTTTCTGGTGTGCGTACTAGGTGCTTGGTCTCCCTATCAGGAGGTTCCTTAGGAGTTGGTTGTTAATGATCCTGTGTGTAAGCTTCTGAAAAACACAGCAGAGTGCCTATTCTTTACTGGATTAGTGGGGATAATGCTAGCCTGAACTTCCAAGATGAAGAAAGGATCACATATTCAGAGACTAAGTGGATTTTTTGAAAGCGAATTGTTCATCTCAAGATTCTGAAGGCTTAAGAGATTTCAGAATGTCATCAGATGGCAAAACCCCTGCTTTTTTTCACTTACGGTGGTGGGCTTTTTGGTACGCTGACTTTTTAAAGTTAGTCTTTTCTGTTGCATAGAATAGGCTACTTTGCTGGCTGGTGCTTGTGTTTTTGTGTGGCTCCAGGAGGACAGGTGAGTTGATACATAACTCTTGGGTTATGTGGTGTCAGCTGTATGGGGTTTTTGTAGCTCTTCCTTATATCCTGAACAGCAAAAGCCTTCTAAGGGTGGCAAATGATCTGATCCCATCCAGCTTCCTATGCTTTAGTTTCTGGAGACAGTAGTTACGTAGTGACAAAAACTGAATGTCAGAAAATTGTTATGATGTATAATGCTTTTGCCAAACATGCCACCGTGTTAATAGATAAGATGTTAGGATGTGCTGTGACTTTTATGTCAGTGTTAAATGGCAGAACCCTTTCTGAAATACTGTTCAGTCTTTGATACTGTGCTCAAGGACCTGCATCAGTAAACTTGAAAGTGCAGTAAACAGAACAAGAAATTACATGGTCTCACCTTCTCAGTAGCTAGAACACTGGGAGTACACTTCCACTCTAAGGGAAATTAGCTGTGGAGGGTCAACATCCTTGTATCTTAGTTTTCCTCTCCTGGGGGCATCAACTAGTATAATATGCTAGAAAACTGCGAGTTTATAGGAGCAGATACTAAGTAAGACTGAATGCCACCCAATGTCCGGTGAGGTAGTCCTGATGGTAGCTCTGCACTGCAACAAGTAGCCTGAGGAGTTCTGGTATGTCTTGTAGAAGGTCATGAGTGTGTTCTGTAAATATCTGCTAGAAACGGTCTAAATCTACTTGTCTTGCCTTAAACTAGGGGATGGATTATCTCATGGCTTCTCCAGTGGCTTTCTAAAAGGTTTCTCGCTTATTTTCCATACTGTCCTACTTGCACATGTAGGGAAGGGTGAGGAGAAGAGAGGAATGAAAAAGGTTTAACTATTACAGTCTCCAACCCCTTTAGATGTAAGTACATAAATATTTATCTGGAATATTAAAATGTTTTTTTCCAATTTGTTTAGACTCTGTAGCTGACAGCTGTGCTATCTGTTTCAGTGCCATAAACTACTCTTAAGAGCAAATGAGGCTTCTCCTTGACTGGTGTTCAGATATGATTATGAAACTCGCCATGCATTTGTTGGTGATTATTCTGGACAGATCACTCTCCTGAAGCTTGAGCAGAATACTTGCTCAGTTATTACAACGCTCAAAGGGCATGAAGGTAAAGTAACTCTTCGTCTTATAGAATCGTAAAATCATTTAGGTTGGAAAAGACCTTCAAGATCATTGAGTCCAACCATCAACCATGCCCACTAAACCATGTTCTGAAGTGCCTTGTCTACACGCTTTTCAAATACCTCCAGGGATGGTGACTCAACCACTTCCCTGGGCAGCCTGTTCCAATGCGTTGCAACCCTTTCAGTAAAGAAATTTTTCCTAATATCCAACCTAAACTTCCTCTACTGCAACTTGAGGCCATTTCCTCTCGTCCTATCTCCAGCTAGCTGACAGAAGAGACCAGCACCCACCTCACTACAACCCCCTTTCAGGTAGTTGTAGAGAGCAATAAGGTCTCCCCTCAGCCTCCTCTTCTCCAGACTAAACAGCCCCAATTCCCTCAGCCGCTCCTCATAAGACTTGTGCTCCAGGCCCCTCACCAACTTGGTTGCCCTTCTCTGGACATGCTCCAGCACCTCCATGTCTTTCTTGTAGTGAGGGGCCCAAAACTGAACACAGTACCCAAGGTGCAGCCTCACCAGTGCCGAGTACAGGGGGACAATCACCTCCCCGCTCCTGCTGGCTACACTATTTCTGATGCAGGCCAGGATGCCGTTGGCCTTCTTGGCCACCTGGGCACACTGCTGGCTCATATTCAGCTGGCTGTCAACCAGCACTCCCAGGTCTTTTTCTGCCAGGCAGCTTTCCAGCCACTCTTCCCCAAGCCTGTAGCGCTGCATGGCATTGTTGTGACCCAAGTGCAGGACCTGGCACTTGGCCTTGTTGAACCTCATGCAATTGGCCTTGGCCCATCAATCCAGCCTGTCCAGATCCCTCTGTAGAGCCTCCCTACCGTTGAGCAGATCAACCCTGCCTCCCAACTTGGTGTCATCTGTGAACTTGCTGAGGGTGCACTCAATCCCCTCATCCAAACCATTGATAAAGATATTAAGCAGAACAGGGCCCAATACTGAGCCTTGGGGAACACCACTTGTGACCCCCCGCCAACCACAACCCTTTGGGCTCGTCCATCCAGCCAGTTTTTCACCCAGCAAAGAGTACAATTAATTCTACTGGACCCAGATTATAGTACCTCTTTGTAAATTGGGATGAGACGTTCAGTTGGGTATCTCTCTCTTAAAGACAGATACTGGATAAACAACTAGTGCAGGGCAGTAGTTATCAAAAGCTGTTCAGAGCTGTACATATGACTCTCTCTTAAAGAAGAGACATATTCTTGCTGAGGGGAAATCTTAGCCTTATAAATACTGACAGGTATTTTTATTATAGATGAAAAATAAAGGTAAACATATGCATTCAATTAAACACGTTATCCACTAGATGGCCACCTTTAAAAACTTTAGTCTCCTTTAATATTGAAAAGAAAGGACGAGAATGTGTTACTTTTTTTTTTCTCAAGACCTTGTAGGACTATAATAATATGTAAAGCAGCTTTAGCAAACCTCAATCTAGATTCTGAAAAGCCACTTAAGTCTTCCCAGTGCAGACTTTGATGTTCTGATCAATCTTTATGAGACTCTAGTTCAGTTTCCTTTGTTTAGCTGAAACTAAGCCTTGTGCAAGAAATCTACAGAGCCTTTTAGAATCAAAACTGTGTAGTCAAAGACAAATGTCTCTTCCTGTGTAGTATAGCTGAAGTCCTTATATCAGATGAAGAACCAAATAGTCTGTAACATAATGTGGAGCCCCTGTCTGCTGTAATGAGTAAGGCAAGAATGCAAATCACAGAAGAATATGTAATTTAATAATAAGCTGAGAGAAATAAACAAGACTTAATGCCTCTTCCCATGTAGTACTGGCAACTTTCAAATCGGCTGACTAGTTTGCATTTGGGTAGGGGTGAATTACTGGGTCATAAGTCTCTGACCCACTGGAAAAGCCTGCCTTGTTTAATAGCTCTAAGTATAGAGCAGACTTTGTTAAAGCTGGGTAGACTCCTGATTTACAGATTACTGGAAGATGGTAAAGCTGGCTTTGAATAAGGGAGGCAAGTTGAGATTTTCAAATTATAAATGCCTCTTTTGCTTTCAAGCAGAATTTCAGATTGTTTCAGTTAAGAGCAAAATAATTCTGGCCCTAAAGACTCCTTTACCTCTGCATGCTTTTGCACTAGTCTGTATTAAAATGCAACCCCTTGATAGGTACTATTGTTAGTCTGAAAGCAGTATGGTACTACGTATAGTGCATATTCTATCTGTTGAGCTGCGGTGGGCTTCCAAGCACCAACTCCAGCAGTGCTGTCCACATAGCAGACAACCTTGATTTATACATAAGTTCCCTAAGGCAATTGTGATCCTCAAAACAAGAATTGATCTAATATAGAAGTTGATTAATGAGGGGCAGAACCAGGGCGGGTTTTGGTTTTTTTTTTTCAATTATGGTAATAGTAGGGCCTTCATTTTTTTCTTTTTTTTTCTTCTTTTAAAAGCAAAACAGATAATGTGTAACCTTTTTGCCTCCAAAGTATTTACGTAATATTCTCAAGGCCTGGTAACTCTAAACTTAAATGGCATCTAGTTCTTCTCTGAGTGCAGCTGTGTTTGCCAGACTTGAAAGGTTGGACTTCATCTTGTTTCCTTTCTAGCTCTTGCCTAACTGTGACTTCATAAGCAAGCAGGATTTGCTTTGCAGTTTAAATGGTTTTAGAACTATCTTCAACTGTCCTTCAACAGTCAGCTTCCAGAATTCTCCATATTTTAATAGCCTACTCTGTGCAACACTGAGATAATACTCAAACTGCCTTTTATGGTGTGGATGATCACTGTTCTCTCAGAGACTATTCCCAAATGGGTCAGTCTGAAAACAGTGTGGCCCTAAAGGAGGCAAGAAAAATCTCTTGCTCCAGAGAGCTTGAAAGGACTGATTTGGGCTGTAGTTACTGTGGTGGGTTGACCCTGGCTGGAGGCCAGGTGCCCACCAAAGCCGTTCTATCGCTGCCCTCCTCAGCTGGACAGAGGAGAGAAAAATATAACAAAGGGCTCTTGGGTCGGGATAAAGACAGGGAGAGATCACTCAACCAATTACTGTCACGGGCAAAACAGACTCGACTTAGGGAAAATTAAATTAATTTATTGCCAATCAAATCAGAGTAGGATAATGAGAAATAAACCCAAATCTCAAAACACCTTCCCCCCCCACCCCTCCCTTCTTCCTGGGCACAGCTTTGCTCCCAGATTCTCTACCTACGCCACCCCCAGTGGTGCAGGGGGACAGGGAAATGGGGGTTACGATCAGTTCATCGCACGTTGTCTCTGCCGCTCCTTCCTTCTCAGGGGCAGGACTCATCACACTCTTCCCCTGCTCCAGCGTGGGGTCCCACCCACAGGAGACAGTCCTTCACGAACTTCTCCAACGTGGGTCCTTCCCACAGGCTGCAGTTCTTCACAAACTGCTCCAGCATGGGTCCCTTCCACGGGCTGCAGTCCTTCAGGAGCACACTGCTCCAGCGTGGGTCCCCCACGGGGTCACAAGTCCTGCCAGAAAACCTGCTCCAGCGTGGGCTCCTCTCTCCACAGATCCGCAGGTCCTGCCAGGAGCCTGTTCCAGCGTGGGCTTCCCACAGGGTCACAGCCTCCTTCGGGCATCCCCCTGCTCCGGCGTGGGGTCCTCCCCGGGCTGCAGGTGGATATCTGCTCCACCGTGGACCTCCCTGGGCTGCAGGGGGACAGCCTGCCTCGCCATGGTCTTCCCCACGGGCTGCAGGAGAATCTCTGCTCTGGTGCCTGGAGCATCTCCTCCCCCTCCTTCTTCATGACCTTGGTGTCTGCAGGGTTGTTTCTCTCACATGTTCTCACTCCTCTCTCCAGCTGCAGTTTCTGTGTGCCCTGCAACTTTTTTTCCTTCTTAAATATGTTGTCCTAGAGGCACTACCACTATCGCTGATGGGCTTGGCCTTGGCCAGCAGTGGGTCCGTCTTGGAGCCGGCTGGCATTGGCTCCACAGGACACAACAGAAGCTTCCAGCAGCTTCTCACAGAAGCTACCCCTATAGCCCTGCCCCCCACCAAAACCTTGCCACACAAACTCAATACAATTACCATTCATCTTGCTTTCAGACTAACAAAGCTTTTGATGACAACTGAACGATGGAAGCATGCTTTAAAGGGAAGGATGTCTGTAAGGGAATAAAATGTTTTGCAACTTCAAAACTGTAGGCAGCACGAGTGACAAAATTACTTATTTAGTCTCCTATCTACATTACTATGCATATGGGTTTAGCATAAGACTGCTACTGTCAGATGACTTTGTTTCTTTCTATGCCTGACTAATGAGGTGCATAGCCAGGGTGGGCCTCTGAAATCTAGTTTTGTAATTTAGTACGTAGTGGCCAGGTTTGCTAACAGCAGTGAAACTGTCACTTAATTTTGTATTCCAACTATTTTAAGCTTGTAAATGGTTACGTAAGGGAGTTGGTTTACCTGTGAACACTGCACACTGTCTTGCAGCCACTGCCCAAGCACATTACTGTATTGTAGATGCTAGTCTCTGGCAAGTTTTAGTACTTTTCATCTTCCAAAGATCGCATAGCAGCCTGACAACTGTTAACAGCTGCCTAAATACAAGGGGCAGAAACCTAGTAACTTGAACTTTCTGGCTTATTCTTTGCATCTAACTTTCTTCTTGGGGATGTTTTTGTTCTGTTGTCAAATGCTCTTTGCCTCTCTAGCAGGACTGTTATCTTGCTGTTGCATGCTGTCTTTTGCCTTAAGGCTTTCAGTATCTGTTATTGTAGTGAGGGAGTACCTCAGGTTTCACTTTAATAGCCCAGACACACATCATTGTGGTGGGGAGTGACTCCCTTAGATCTAACTGCAGAATGTTCTTTCCTAGGAAGTATTACTTCCCTGTGGTGGGATCCTGTTCAACGGCTGCTCTTCTCAGGTGCCTCTGATCACAGCATTATCATGTGGGATATTGGTGGAAGGAAGGGGCGAACGCTGCTGCTCCAGGGACATCAGTATGTAATGGTGTTGTATTTTTCCCACCTGTTCTGTAATGAACACAGAGTCCCAGAAAGACTAAATAGCATGGCAAGATACTTGAATCTTTGTGAATAATGGAGAAAATAACTTTTTGCAGAACTCTGAAGACTTTGAGGGGGAAGAAGGATAATCAGTACTAGGAAAGCATTACAGATAAATTTTTTTCTTTTTTTTGCTCATGTTTGATACTTCTAAACCATGGGTAATGAGAAAATAACATAAAAGTAGGTTATAGAAAGAGGTGGGTAAAAATCTTGAATCATCTTGCTTGGACTTTATGTAAAAGTTGCATGCTTCTGTATTGTAAATACTTTGCTGAGTTGCCCATGAGGGCTGGGCTAGAAACTTAATGTATAAGCATGTTCGTGTACCCATCTAGAATAAGCTTCAATATGTTCCTGTTCTCTGTCTCTTTGCATCAGTGAGGCGATAAACTGATCGGCTAAATTACAGGGGTGGGTCTCTAGACTTCAGAAAAGCATGTCACATCTCCACTGTTCTGTGGATTAGGTAGTTAGTTGTCTGTATTTAATCAGCTATTTTTACAGAGACACAACACTAGCTGCCATTTTTTAATCTAGGGCCTTAATTCAGTCTGACAGGCAGTTCACTACTGATATATTCTACTTAGAAATGCAGTGGTAGCAGAGATCTTGTTTATGTTTAAAGATGTATTTGTATAGTGCATTCTCCTCTTGTCTAATTCCATAGATGCCTCCATCCACCTTTGATCAAGACTGGTAGCCTTAGCCCTAGAACTCTTGTTAAATCTTGAGGATTTAGTTTTATGGCTAAAGAACTAATAATAGAGTACTGGATACAAAAAAGTAACTGAAGTCAGTGACTGGAGGACTTTATACTGCTGTTACTGCTGCATCATGTGTCCTGGTGAAGACTTATAACACTGTTAGTTTCTCTTCAAACATCACAATTAGCATCAAACTTCATACTGAATGGGAAAGTAAGTTCTTCTGAGAAGCAGAATGGTTTTTTAATTCAACGTAGATGTTGCAAAGCGGTCTAATACTGTTGAGATCCTTTGTTTAGTTTCTTAGGGTAGACTTATTTTGCCATGACTCTTTTATTTAGGATTAAACTGTCTTATTGGTGAATGCATGCTTTGTTCTGCAGCTACAGACTGACTTACTGTGATTTGTTAGCAAAAGTGGAAGCTCCATCTGCTTCCTAGCTATATCTTGAAACAAATATTTCTCTTTATTTTTCCAGTCGTCTCTGTTTTGATAGCTGGCTTTCCTTGCCAACACAGAATAGCATTTGCACGCACACTCTGAGCCAGTTGACACTCAGTTTATTGTCAATGCTTACTGCCAGCAAACATTAACACAGAACTGTACCTCTGGTATTCTGGTCAAGTCTGAAAGAACACTGTTCTAGGCAACATCCTGATGCTAGGGTAGTGCTTAGGTGACAGCATCTGTTCGCTCATCTTCATAGCTCTACTTAGTAGACTTAGCAAAGTGTTTGGAAATCAGTTTTGGCTTCCTAGGTAGCTTTACAAGGATAAATTGGGGTTTGCTAGGAAACTAAGCTTTGTATAAATACCTATGGGTAAATAGCGTCTACTTTGTTTGCAGTGACAAGGTGCAGGCTATCTGTTACATCCAGCTGACACGGCAGCTGGTATCTTGTTCAGCTGATGGGGGAATTGCTGTTTGGAATATGGATATCAGCCGAGAAGAGGTAAGATCATGTCCTAGGTCAAAGATATATTCTTTCAATTATTTTGTTTTTCCTTTTTCAGAGGCTGATGTGGCTTTGCTTAGTCGGTTCTGCAGGCTGTTTTCCTCACATTGTCTGAAACTTTAAGGCTGAATGATATTATTAAAACATGCTCTGTTCTAGTGGCTGTCTATACTGCATTGTAGTAGATGGATTCCCAGGACAGGAGAAGTGCAGGACAGGCTTGGGACTGCTTAGTCTTATATCAGTGAGACCATATGTTCACTGGAATGGCTACAGCCCTTGCTGCTGGAACAGTCTAAAGCAGGCACGCTTCTGCAGAAAGAAACCAATGGACTGTGCTTCAACAGTCTTGAAATAAGTTCTCAACTCATGTCAAAGCAGGTAAAGAAGTGAGATGCTGGTTTTTGAGATGCAGTTCAGAATGTAGAGATTCAGTCCCCAGACAACTTTTTTTTTTTTTTAAAGACCTCAGTACACAGCAACGGGGCCTGCCATGCACATTCTTTCTGCATCAGTTCATATCCATCATAGGAGCTGAAACGATGTATATTACTGCTGTCTTTGGTTAAACCATAGTTATAGGCATTAGTTTGGTTGCCCTCATAAAGTGGTATTTAAGGCTCAGCCTCCTTGCCCCATTGCTTTTCCTTAAATGCAAGTGTCATGATTAAGAACTGTTTTCTGACATGTGTTGAGCTGTCACCTCAAACATACTGAATGCTGTATGTGATGCTTTTAACATTTTCAGCATGATGATCTCTCTTCAAAACTTCTGTGATACTATGAAACTTTGTAGTTGCAAGGAATTGACTTACAATACAATCAGGAAAACAAGGTGTGGCTGTTTCTTTTCTGGATCTGCACACAATAATTAAGGGATCTTCTAAATAATAGACAGTTTTAATACAATTAAAATAATATGGTTAACTTAGAACAGCCATGATGTCTCAGAACTCACTGGAAAAACATAATCAAGTCCAATCCAAAAACAAAGATACTAAATGTTTGAAGAATGATGAACATACTGCCTCTGTGACATTAGCGAGCAAGTCATATTATAGGCTATCTTCAAATATGCACTAATACACGTAAGACTAGAAGATGGACTTTTTTGATTAGAAGGAATGGTAACTCCGCTCACAGGTGTACTATTGATCTTGGGCAGTTCCAGCTGTACGTTGGTAATAGTGTTGGTAGTGTTGGCAGTTTTTTACCTCCTGTTTAATGCCTGAAATTAAGGTGAAAGAATAGGAAGGTAGCCTGTTTTTCTGTTAGAGAGAGACAGAAAGTGGATTGTCTTCTCAAAAATGCTATTAAGTGAAAACTGCTATTGTAAGTAACTGAAAGAAGTAATATGGAGCATCTCACTTGGTGGAGAGGAGACTCATTTCCTCTACTGTCCTCCCCCATGCCCCATGCTGGACTTGTAAGGCGTAGTAACAATATTTTCCACTAGCACGGGGGAAGGAAGGAGATGCAATCAAGGTTGAAGTTGTAGGAACTGGATATCTGGTATCCATGGTGAGATGGTGGTGCAACTGACAATACTATTGTTTTATTACTATCAACAATGGATGGAAGTGAATTGAGGAGAAAAGCTTCTTTGTTGTTCCAGCTTTCCTCCTGTTGGGTTTCAGGGAGATTCCCCCATCAGATGTATAAAGTTGTATAGAATGTACATGTTCTAATTCAAGTCTATGTACTAAAAATATTGTGCCTCTATTTCCATCCCTTACAAGAATGCTCACTTAAAGTATCTGGGAGTGTTGAAATGTGTGAAAGCTCTATTTTCATTTGGCCTAGTCCGTTTATGGCAGGAAAGATATGTGGGTGTGAGAAGGGATGCTTAATGAAGATGTGGGCAGGATGGAAAATGCAGATGAGTTCTTAATTATTTCAAACTGAAATCCTAGGAAAGCAGAAAAGATAATTCCAGAATTTACTTCTGGATCCCCGCTCTTAGAGGAGATGACTAACTGCCTCATAGCTTCTACAACTTGGATTACACTAGCCCTTAAAAATCATCTAGGCAACCAGAGCACTAGTCTTTGAATGCCTGCAGCAAGTTTAATAACTTAGATGTTTGAATTAATTTTCTTATGAAGGTGTTAACATAACATACTGCTGTGGGCTTAAAAAGTATAGGAGGGGTGTAGGTAACAAATAACTGTAGCCTTAGGTTTGGGGTTTTTTGTACTAAACTTCCTATGTACTATACAATAGGCAATGTATTGTTGTAATGTCCGCAGCTGAGAAGGGACATCTTTCCAAGTAAAACTTTACTTTGGGTTCTTAAAACAAATGTCCTTGACTGTCATATGAGGAAAAATAATTCTGATTGCTTGCATCTGTTGCTCTTTTGTAGGCTCCTCAATGGCTAGAAAGTGATTCCTGTCAGAAGTGTGAACAACCTTTCTTCTGGAATATAAAGCAAATGTGGGACACAAAGACATTAGGGTTGAGACAGGTGAGATTGCTGGTTTGAGTGCTTAGCTGTGCTTCAGCATTTAAGCAAAATGCAAACAGAAAACCACTAAAGCTGTTAGGTCTTTTAAACTGTTGGTATTTTTGCTGCTTTGAAGTTAGGGTTTATGGAGAGGTCACAGCTTCTCAGAAGTGCTAAGAAATTTCCAAATGCTATGGAACATGTTGCATCAAACTTCTATCACAAGGCAAAGCAGGCTGTGCTGGGAGTGCTCTGTTGTATTTCTCTGAATATTTCTATGCACTGGAGCTGCGGACAGCTAATCTTCAAGTGTGGTGAGAAGTGGCACACAGTGCCCCATAACTGAGCAAACTACAGCCTAACATGTTGTAGGGTACTCAGTTCAGGGAAGCAGTGGTAGCCCTGCTCTTACTGGGCTGGAATGTGAAAGCTTTTCAGAAAGCTTTCTTTTTGGAGGGACTAGACAGGCACCGGGACACTCATCTGTTTCTGGCTTTCTTAGACTGTTATTTCCTTGGTTGCTTGTTCAACCCTCTTTTTTCCCTGGCTCCCAGAAGGAGCTTACAAGAGGAGAAGAGGATGGGCAGGGAGAATATGGAGGTAAACCCATTAATGGCCAAGGACACTGTTCAGAACTCCGGAGTCCTTGGTCTTTGCTTGAAGTAACAGAAGACTTCTTAACAGGTTGCAAACCAGAAGCTTTGTTGTTGCTGTTCAGTGAACACTTGGTAAGGTGGTCAAGTGTCACAATATAGTGATTTTGTTTGTTTTCTTCTTCCTTCATGAAGCATCATTGCAGAAAATGTGGGCAAGCAGTGTGTGGCAAGTGCAGTACCAAACGGTCAAGTTACCCGATTATGGGATTTGAGTTCCAGGTCCGTGTTTGTGATTCCTGTTTTGAGTCAATCAAGGATGAAGAGTGAGTATTAACGAGTAACAAATTAAAGTAATACTGCTGAGGTGCAGAAACACTTGTGCTTGCTCCACATCCACACACGCACAATGCTACACAAACATGCCAAGGTGACTCTCTGCTAATAGGTCACCTTTGCCTTGGGCACTCAAAGCACTACAATGGCAGAGATCCCTCAACTGGCTCTGCAAGCTGATTTGGATCAGATGTGGTATTGCAACTTTTTTATCCACTTTATCTTCTTTTCCATGAGCCCAGATCTAGAGTTGAAACATATTTGTGTCAAGATTTCTGTTTAGGTAAAGGCTATTGATTGCACTTAAAATTGTTAAATGGGTGCCTGACAATGCATCATAGCTGCCAGCATGTATATGCATTAGTTCGTGTACACTACTGAAAACTGTTTCTATGGGAATATTCTTTACAGCCCAATATTATTTTCCGCATGCAAGCAAATTGGGTTAAACATCATTTGCTGCCATTAAACTCTTCTTAGCAATGAAGGAATGCCCTTTTTATCTTGATATGAACAGCACTTCACTGTTCACTGTCTTGTAACCTCCTTGGCCACCTGGAGTGCTAAAGGACCAAAATAATCAGATGCCTATTTGGGGGGTGTTTGTTGTTTTGTTTTGTTGTTGTTGTTTGTTGGGGAGGTTTTTTGGTTGATGGGGTTTTTTGTTTGGTTGGTGTTTGTTGGTTTTTTTAAAAAAAGGGAGGTGCTGTGCCCTAGTTGTCCTGCTAGCTATCATGAGTCAAAATGTAGCTGAGCTTGACTTTATAACCAAGAGTAGAATTATTTACTAATGCAGTGTCCCATCTCTGCTCAAGTATTATTAACAGTCAGGCTGCAGAAGGCCAGGAAATGTCACACCTGTATAACTACACAAACAATGCTTTAGCGTGACTTGCTAATTTAATTCTGTCCCCTTTGATATGGCACTGCAGTTCTCGGAACTGATTTATTAGTACTTGAGCAACTTAATTTTCTTGTAAGTTTATTTTGCACTGCTATAATTATGCCATCAAGCTTCATCTGATGGCTGGCTTTCATTTGAATTGTTCTCGTGCAGCCGTACTTCCTTAGCAACCTTTCATGAAGGAAAACACAACATTTCACACATGTCCATGGACATCTCCAGAGGGCTAATGGTAACTTGTGGGAGTGACCGGATTGTGAAGGTATGCATGTACCTCTTTCCTGCATGTATTAGAGATATTTAATAGAGAGCTAATGTTTGTGTATACTTTTTTTCTTTGACAACTGTTGCTACAAAACTAACTGTTGTGGGCAGCGAGAGTCGTTGTTGTTGCAGACTGTTCTTCCTGCAGCTGAATGAGGAAACGACCTGTAACTCTGCTGTATGGAGTCTAGCTGTGGGAACTGGTTAGTGTTGGTGTCCTCTGAACAAAGCAGGCATCAGCAGTAGGAGAATCTGCCAGCAGCCTTAAAGACACAGACATGATGAAACGTGCAGGCTTCCTTTACTTTGAGCTCCCTGGCTTCTTGCACCATTGCCACTAAAAGCCCTGGTTATGAGACAGTGACGTGGAAATCAAACTGATGTAGAACCTTGCTGTGCTTAAGCTATACATCTGCCATGGATGTCAGAACTGAGACTGTTCCAGTCTGTAAGCATGTTTATAACAAACTGCATAGCGCTTTTTAAAACAGACCTACAGAGACCTGCTGGAAGACTCTCTTGAGCCCTAAGTTTGGCTTTTGGGTTGTAAGGCTCCTATAACCCTTTATGATGTTTTCCTAGTTTAAACAGGATTTGTTACCTTGTGTCCAGGGAGATCTTTATGTTTGCTTCTATGCCTCTTAGAGAAACAGCTATTGGATCTTATAATAATGCTATGTAATTCTCCACAATATTTTCTTCCAGATCTGGGACATGACGCCAGTAGTTGGTTGCAGCCTTGCAACTGGCTTCTCTTCACGCTGATCTCATACCTGACAGGTTTATGCACCTTATGTACAGCAATATGCACCGAATGAATGGAATCCTTCTTAAGAATATTACCGCAAACACTGGTTGCTTGATTCTTCTCCTGCTGCTGTTCCAGGGTGGACAGTCACCTTTGTAGAGCACGGCTTTTCTGTTGGGCTCACCAGGAATCTCCTTGGTGCAGAAATGCAGTTTCGCAGCCTCTTGGACTAACGTAAAATGGCTTACCTGCAATATGACACCTTGATGAAAGGACCTGTTGTTTCTCGGTTTACATACATAGTGTTAACAATGTGCTATCTCTGCTGATACATCTTGTACAGATACGTTGTAGCTAAAACATTATCAGAGTAAAATGAGTGTAGTAAATTCAATTTGTGCAAATAGTAAAATAACTTATTCTCTCTTCCAAAAAGCAGTTCTGTAGAAATACTTTTGAGCAGTCACTGTCTAAACTGCCTCCAAAAGGTATGTTGGTTATTCCTATGGAAGGAGGAGATACTTCAAAGTGGCAGGTAGCTTCTTTCAGATGAGATAGTAAAAGAACCTTTGGTCACACAAGATTTCCATTATTGGCTTTCTTGTAGTGTTTGTCTTCAAGTTCAGATATTAGTGAAATCACTTTTGTGGGACAACTGTTCTGTTTAGGTAGCTGGTGAGTCTTAGAACAATTCTAGGCTCTTTAAGTAGTGTTTTAGCATAGCTAATAAACTTCTGTAGTTCTTACAAAAACGTGCAGCCCAGCTACTGTACTTTAAAGAGAGGCCGTAGGTATGAGTCATGTACTCTGACAACTCTATAATGCTGTTAGAATGGGAAGCTAAGCAAATCTGCCTTGTTAAATGTAATGGCTAAGAAAAAATGGCCAGCTAAATTTTAGAGACTTTTTCCTGTGGAAAGGCTGATGTTTCTTTAATGGTAGGGAACCTGTCTCTGCTAAAGTGCAGCATAAATTCAAATACTGCCTTGATGTTGCTTGAAACAGATAAATACTGAGTAATAATTACTGAGGTACAGAACAGCTGCTTTTTTCCCTGCACATAGGTCTGTTAATCCTGAGATATCTATATTGATCCCTTCCTGTTTCAAAGCTGAGAAGTATGAATAAGAGGTGGGAGGCTTCTGTGACTGTGCAGTTGGCACGTACAGGAAATATCTAGTGAGATGTCAATAAATTGGTCTGTCAGTTGTGTGAATTTCCTACATTTGAATACTGTAAGGAGAACTTATTTCAAAACTTTGAAAGCTAAGGTATTATGTCACAGAGTTTAAGCTTGGAGCTGTTTAGATTTTTCTGAAAACAGATGCATATGTGTGAGGACAAAAAGTGTGGGTAGGTCAGCTGGCCCGAAATAGGTGGTGGTGTACAACTGTCAAAGGTAACAAGCTCTTTCTGGCAGAGGACTTAAGGGTTACACTGTCTTTATTTACAGCAACAATCAAGTGGTGCTATGAGTGTTAGTGAATTCAAGTCCTAGGTGTGTAACTTGACACTAATAACCTGCATTGGACCATGCTGTAGGCTGAAATAGATGAAGATCATGGTATCGTTAATATGCCATGATTCACTTGGATTTTAAGCCAAAAAGCTGATAGTCTCCAAAGGGCATTAGAATCCAGAATATGTTAGTTACTGTTATTTTGGACCTTGCTTTGTCTACCTTTCCATGGGCCTTCTCTGGAAGCTTTGCAAAGAGTCTTTTAATTTGCTAGGCTTATTGGGCCACTGAAGAATGAACAAAGCCCTCTTTTGTGGGAATCCCAAAACTTGTCTTCAATTTGGGATTTAGCACTTGTCACACTGATTTGATTCATCCCTTGCTACATGCTGTATAGCTTATATTTTTTGTGAAGGCTTATTTCTAAGCTATTGAGAGAGTATCAGCTTGTACTGGAAAAAAGCTGCAGCTTTCTGCTCTGAAGGCCTTCACCCTTGTAAATTAGGAAGGAAACCAAGTGGTTGAAGGGGGGAATAAACCCTGATAATGCCCTGCATTCAGTTTCAGACAACTTCCTGTCTGGCTCTGGAAGAGAATGGAAGCCTTCTTCCTCGCAGCATGTAAGGCAGAACATAAGTTATATTGCTAGAACTGTTTAAGATCTTACTGTGGTAGGTAAGGAGTATCTAGGGTCATGAGTTAAGCTGGGAGATTGATGTAGATGTGGGATGAATAGCCTATTTTTTCAAACCAGACATTGTGAAACTTACACCAATGATACTGAGGTGTAACTTGTTTGCAGCTAGCACTCCTGAGCTTCAGATTTTTTAGTTCTGATTTGTCAGCGTGCCCCCTGCTCAGCATGCAGCTCCTCCCTTTCCCTGTGAATACTTCCACTGCTTCTTTACATTACGGTTTTGCCACTAGGTAATATATTCTCTACTACATATTGTGAAACCTAAGGAATCTATTTTCTATAATTGATAAAGATAGTGTCAGTTCAGATATAACAAGGCAATTATGGCTGCTAAATCCTTAGTCATTTAAGTATACTCTTGGTGTTGAATGAGTAATGCTTACAAACCACTAAAGAGATAGTGCTTTGTTTATAAACAACTATTTTGAAGGCACATACTCTCTCATGAAACTGAACATCCTTCAACTATGTCAGCTCAAGTGTGCAATTACTGAGAAGGTTTGATTTGAAGCATTACTAATCTCGCTTGTATAACCTTCATTGGGGCAGGGCAGGGGAGCAAAGGGTACTAATATGTGCTAATTCTTTACTAGTTGTATTTCTGTACCCTGCATAGTTAAGAGATGCTAGATAAATCTGTCCCTTGCTCCTTCTTGTCTGTTTTTTAAACTTTGATTACACGTACAATAAAATATTTCTTGATACTCAGTCTATTTGAGTGATCCATGTTTTCTTCCATTCTGTGAATGCACAACCACTACTGTATGCTCTGGCTCCTCCTTTACATGGCCCATGTCCAAATTCTATGTTGGAGAGAGAGCTTGTCAGATGTGTTGTATTGGAGCTGAATGAGCTGCAGCAGTGGGGTTAAAGGCCCATGATGAACCAGTTTGCTGAGAGACAAACTGCTGCGTGGTCCCAGCTAGGGATGTATGACCCTATCCTGTGTCCTGCTTGCCAGCTTGTATAGACCTCTTCTCTGGTTCATCTGGTTTTCTTCAGAGGGCTGCAAAGGTTCTTGCAACGCAGAGTATCAGAGGATCAACCTCTTCCCTGAGATCCCTTGGGTCTGTCTGAGGTATTAGAGAAATACTAATTTATGCTGGATGGGATGAGCAGAGTCTACAATATGATATATTCAGAGGACACAAACTGCAGCCACAGGAGGTGGTTACACTTGTCTCATACTTTCACAGAGAAAGGATGGGGACAAGCTCAGAAGTATCCTTATCGCTCACAATTACTCACAGCCTTCACAGGCTCAAATACAGCAGTGACTGGCTTTGTAATACTTGGAATGCCCGTTAACATGTGGTGTAGCTCACCACTCCCAAGGGTATTCAGGAGCCATAGAAGGAATCTGAAAGGGTTTCACAAAACTCTTTCCACCTCTGAAGGGTGGCTGAATAGTCTGTGTGGTATGTAATGCTGTAATTTTTTTTTTTTTTTTTTAACAAGACATGTCTCATTTTGATCAGCTTAAACTTCTCACCTTTCCCAAGGCAAAATACCCTGTTTTCTAGTTCCAACAAAAACTGACTGGAAACAATGAGGGTGTTACTGATCTGTAGTCGGAAAAGCCTGTTTAGATGTCTGTGTAGACCATCTTATAGAATCTTTTAAATAAGGCATATGAACTCTAGATGAGTTAAGTTTGAAAATGTTTGAGAACTGCACATGGTGTCCTTCTAGTGAGAGCATTAAAATACGTGTATTGGTTTTCTAAATGAGAATGCATAGTTGATCATGTCTCACATTCTGTATGTCGCAAACTTCATTTAAATTTCAGGTAAGCTGTGTGGCAGGTCTTAGCAATGAGTTTTTTGGTGTGGTGTTGACTTTACTCATTGGAGAGATTTAGAATATGCTAGATGCAGGAAAGGGACAGTTTTTCATATTGATCAGATTTACTACTACATACTTCAGAAGGAAAGCTCTCTAAGGCTTTTTTTTCTCTGTAGACCAAGTCCTCAGTGCTGAATGACCTGGCTAACAGTGAAATACCATGATCAAACTACAGAAAATGATGAATTTCTGCCAGCTTAACATTAACAGAAACACTTGTCATCAACTAACCATCTTTCAGTGAGTTGC